CTTCAGGAACAACCCTCCCACACTTTGAGTTTCGGTTACGGCTAGCGCTATAGCCAAAAAGGGCCACACCAGGGTCGATCGACGCGATGAAATTTTAATGCAGCTACAGGTAAGATATATGACAAAAGATGCATTACTCCTATTGGGTACATTGGCTACAACAGTAGTCTACAGTCGTATATTCGCTACTCCTTATTACCTTAGAAAGCTTAACGTAATACTGACAGACGCGTACTTTCACCACCTATCGCGGATTCCTCAGTATTGTTCAGAACATTTTGAGGAAACGAAAGTGTCCGAGGCGCGATTGATCAAAAATAGAGTTCCACCTTTACCACACTTGTGAAAGACGCCTTTATTTTTTATGTCGATTATAAAAGGATCCTGTTTTGTATATAACTCCTCTGATATTGGATTTCAGTGCGCATTGCGCAGTTACTTCACTCCTAGTTGTTTATAAGCTCATTTGGACAGGTCATGGCTCTATGGTATTTGAACATCCGCAGTGCTAGACGCATCTCGTAGTTAATTCGCTAGAAAATTCTTTCACCGACAGCCTACGTTGTTGAATCCTATACGATGGCACTTTCCGTTTGCAATCGGTAACGTTGGAACAAGCATACCAAAGTAAGGGCCCTCATCGCTGACAGATCTCTGATTCTGGTATTGGTTTGGCGAAATTTTCATCACCTGACGGTAGCAGCAGGCATACGGTTTGACGATCTCTAGAGAACAAAGGGAAAACCAGTTGGCAGGTGATGCGAATCGTCTGCGAAAGTAGTCCTCACGAAGCCGAACGTGAGACAGACAGTTGTGAGTGTTGAGACTGTTGCGCTGATCACCAATTCATGAGGGGCAGTTTCTGACTGTTGTTTGCATTCTTGGAGGAAAGGGAACTGTTGGTATTGAATCAGTAATTTTCTTTGCACCTTAGAGGTGCGCAGAGTGTGATAAAACATTCGTCTCGTTCGCAGCTAGTAGTAACTGCCCAGTACTAACGCCCCAGTATACATCATGCATATAGTTGATGAACGGGTAACCAGTGATTGACCCGCTAACAATTGGTACAGTATGGTGGCCTAGTGTGGTCATCCCAGAGCAAGCGAGACATACAGTCACGTCATGTCTATTAACTGATTAGAAGGTTATAATCAACACAACTGTTGCCCCTTTTTTCCTTTTAGTTACAACATCACACATACTTCTGCCAATGGCACTGTGGGCTCAGACACTTGATACTGCACCTCCCGATTCAGATGAAGATTATGATAGCATTCTATAGCGATTTCCAACAGGGTTGACTTCCGCAGCACTTCAGAACAATATTACATCGGCTGAAGCGAATGCGAATGTTAAGCATGTTCAGGAATTCGACGAACTCATCCGTACTCTGACCTCACTTCTCCCTCTCCGCAATTCATTCCGCCACGCTGATCGTCACTTAGAGAAGCAACACGGGGTTGAGCGACAGGTCATGACGGAAGCTCGTTTCCGCAGTCATTGCCGGGGTCATAAAACGAACGCAGCATGTGCAAATGGGATCGAAATGAAACAGCTAGCGTTGCACACACATCTTTGTTTAACGTTATGAACGCAATTTGGCTGTGAGTAGGACTTCTAATGGCTAGCGAACGGCCAGGTTTCGCTAATAGAGCATTGTCGGATTCCATCAGCGGCGTGAAATGGTTCGTTTTGGACCTAACTGCGATGATAATGGTCGTTTTACGCGACAGTTAGGGGAGTTAAATTAGACATGGGCAACACATTAATCTCTAATCTCTTCGGCGGCCGCGGCCGTCGCCACCGCGATGGTCAGTGAAAATGTTTCTGGCCGACGACGATCGTCTTCATAAACAACATAATAGGTGAAAATTTGTTTACTTCGCCTTCTGCTGGTCGTTGCTCCCGGCGGTCGTCTTGCCTTCGCCTTTCGGCATTCGTTTTCATCGAACAGATCAGGCAGCACCTCGAACGCAACCGGATTACACATAAAGCTGTGGCCTCGAATCATAGCATGTAGACCAGCCCACCGCCACTGCCCACTGTTCTTTGCGAAGGCTTATCGACAGTGCACCGGGTAAGTTGGCATTAGCTAAGCGCAGCTTGTCGTCGCGGACGGATCCTAGTTTTGCCTCCTTCTGCTGGAGACTCCAAGTTTGGCTTCAGTTTTCCTCCAAACTATCATAAAGGACACGGTTAAGGGATTAGGACGTGAAATACCCTCTTTACTGTTCGAATGTGATGTGTTTTGTAACGGGCAGATGATTTTCCCCCAACAGGATTGTCGTGACTCAAAATTCTATGCTGTCACCTCCACAGAAGCCCATGACCGCGAATATCAGCCTTTTCTACGTAGGTATTTCATTCCCTCATCACCAACCGCTTCCGGCAATATAGGACGCTGGCGTTTGCCTAAGATTACGAGCTGTGGCTTCGACTCCATGCGAGCCAAAAATCTGTGACCGGATCATACTTTGATTGTTTGTTTCGATCCGCGAAGCCTCTTTTATCAGGTTGCTAAAAACTGACTTAATCGCTCGTTTTTCTGCCCGGTTACAAAGTAGTCCGTTGTCGTCTTAATGTCGTGTCTACGACAGAAAGATGCTCCGGACATCCGGCTAAGACACGCTCTACATACACATGCGTCGTTCCAAATTCATGTTGTAAGGATATTTGTTTTCAGCCACCTTCATTGGCAATTGAAGTTCCAGTTTGTGTGAATTCGATTGTGAGTTTTTTCATGGACTTCTTTGTGACTGTTGTACATCGTTCTGAGTTTTCATAATGCTGCCGCGATATTCGACTATCTTATGGACAATCATAATCTTCGCGTGTCAAAAGGCACTAGCCTAAAAACGCCGTCCACTTTTAGAGCATCTGAAGAAAATGCTACCAACGCAAACTCTCTCGCAGCTGAAGACATGCTTGTTGAATACTCCATAGCGATCTTGATAAGCAGTGATGTGAATTAATGTATTAACCAAAACGGGTCAGATTGAGCATGACCGCGTATACGAATCTGTACTTGAATAATGAGACATAATTAAATGACATTTCGATTCACAGATCTTTCGCAGGGTACAGCACTCTGTTATCTGAAGAACGATTACTCTTGACTCTTTAAGCTCCATCTTTACAGTTCGTCAAACGAGTAGCTCTCCATTTCATTATTCCATATCATGGTGACGGATTAACTTATGTGACAAGTGTCGTATCAGATAATATCAACGTTCAGCGACGAAGTTCAAGATAAAGGCGATCTTTCTAGCGGACAGAATACGCTGGCCACGTTGTGCTGCCCGAAAGTGACCTAAGGAAACTCGCAGAAATCGTGTGTAGCAAAGCTCTGGCGGTGTGACCAATCAAGTACGTTAACAAGACAAAGAATGGTAGGAAAAACGTTCAACCAATGGATAATATATAATAAAATGGCAATGCAAGAAGTGACCATTTCAAGATTTCAGAACAGTTGCGGCTGAGGATAGAGAGATTCATTTCCAAATGTATGTGCACAATAAACTGGTGACAGCTAAATTTAGCAACCTCTATGACGTGTGAAAAGATCGATGCATACAAAATACGGCTAACATCGCTATTCTGAAGGCAGTGCTGTTGGCATTGCCCATGTGCAGTCTAGAAATACCTGGGCTTTTGAAACGTCATGAAACTAGCATCCACCGTTTCCAACAAACTGCCCTAGAAAAATGCTCAGCGTGCAATCGCCTGAGCAAACTGCCCAAACACTCAGCAAATTCCTTCCTGCTTGGCAACTTCAATACAACAACCCAGAAATGACATCAGAAAGTTTTCAAATCCGCGGTCGCTTTCGAGTCTCTGTCAGCTACAGACGAGTTGGCTGACATTCATTAAGACGACCTGAAAACGCAGGTCTGCTTGTGACGAGGAATATGACTTTTGCTGAAACAGTGGACAGTGCCGAACGTTAATTTGAAATGCGATTCTGACAGCCAGGCATCACGACTCTTGGTTACCTTGCTTTAAGACTGTGTTAGCTTCAGACGACAACGACAAAACGATGTTGTTTTCAAACCAACCAGGATTGAGCGACTTTTCCCTCGGTGTGTATAACAAACGGTATTTTCTGCTGTGCAAATGATGTGTCTGCATGTTCACAAACAAACGTTCCATTTCTTTGTTTATGGAAGCAATCACCGTAAATTTAATGAATCCAGTCCAGCTTGAATTCGTCATTTCACTGCCATTTAAAGGCTTTCTACGCATCTTCAATTCCTTGTTAAAACATTTGTTAATCTGCTGCTCATCAGTAGCATTTTAAGTATTGCTTAAATTAACTGTAAAATGAATTAAGCGCAAATTAAATGTAAACAAATGGCTTGTTGTATGGTAAATCTATTGCAGTGCTTCTTTCTGTATATGACAGGCTGTTTTGAAATAAATTAAGCTGCCAGATTCTCTATCATCATGAAAGCCAAAGCAGAAAAATTCAGATTAATGTATTATGGCGTAGAACTGTGTTGCTACTAGGGGACCTCGGTGACAGTTCACTTTATTCCACCGTAGGAAGATTTTTAGAGTACCTTCGAAAACTCTGAGACTTGTGCATAAATTTTACACATCAGTATCGAGTTGTATTTTACTGCTAATGGTCAGACTTTGGCACGGGTGTCTTGTCATCTCAGAGTCTGAATTATTCTCACTAATAAGCAAGACAGTTTTTGCGTTGCATTGCAGATAGAGGAGTCAGCTAAACAATTCAGCCGTGACTTAACTGACAGCTGAACAGAAAAGAGGAAAGGGCTCTACTGGAGCATCCTCATAAATCTCTAAGAAGCCTGACTCTTCTGTTAACTCTATTGGCTTCCAGTTATTTCCATTAAATGGTACAGCATTCTCAGCAACTCTCAAGCTGAGTGTGGATCACGCTTCTACCTGACGGGAAGTTCTTAATGTTTGGATTCAATTAAATTTCGAGAATAAGAAGTTAACCTTCGGCCAATCACAAGACCTCCTTTCATTCATGCAACACAACTGATCGTAGTTTGCATCCTCCAACTGAAGCTGCAGCAGTCAAAAACATACATATTATTACAGGTCTGCGGCTCAATTCGAATGGAGACCACGAGTACTTCCTGGATGAATTAGAAGATTCCGTGTGTGGTGTGGCGGCTACTGTGGAATTTGCCACTCTGATGAGCAGTTTCAATGCGTCGGTGAGAGCAGATAATGAAAACTAGAGAGTCGTGATTGCTTGGAATCGCCCTGATGATCTTAACAATAACGACACAAAGCTGTCACGCTTTTGTTCAACCTATGCAAACAGTGAAGTGCTTTCTTCGAGCGTCGAAACGTGAATACGAACATATCTGAGGTGTGGATGCTTGCACACAAAAGTCTATGTCGTATCATACTTTTCAGCGTTTCAGTTGATGAGTGGTGTAGATTTGACCCTGCTGCGGCAGCCTTCGCATAGTTCTGTAAAAAACAATAGCTGCCATCATATGGTAGAAGCTGTCAATTATACAAAACCCTATTCAATGGTGTAAATTCTAAGCACCACAGAAAGATGGCGTTGGAAATATGTGCTTATTTACAGGAAATATCAGTGAACCTTTTACGCTACTTAGTGGAACGACACCCTTCGATATGTGTCCTCAGTAAAGAGTGGCTTCTGTGCCTCAGGCGAACTTTTTCTGAATAAAGTACGAAGGAATATGGCTTCGAATCTCTTTGCAATAAAGATATGCAATACGATGCCATTGGTCACATGGTAGCGACTTTTGGTAACGGCGTGAAATTCGTTCTGGCAGCCATATTCCTCTCAAAGGCAAATTTGAGTTAAAATGACTGACCTAGGTATTTATGGATATTGACTGAAAGTCAGGATGAGGAAAGAAAGAAATTTTGTGGACGTTCGGATGAGGGTCCCATAATTTTACGATGGGTACTATTCCCGGTGCTCTTTCATGTCGCATGTGATGCAGCGCTGATCTCCATGCGTTTCTATGTGATCAGAGAAGAATGCCTTATTTTAAGGGCAAATCCACCGTGTAGTCTCCTGTTTCTTTTCGCGCCTAGTGAGACTTCTTTGCCTCTCTTCAAAGAATGAAAAGGGAATGATTCGACCGGGACTTTAGCGCACTCCTTATCACTGCAAGTGTGATTCTCTGCTG